CCCCTACCTGCAATCCTTGGCGTCTTTTGCACGAACCTTTAAGCCATGCACATATAACCTCACATTGGAAGAGGAATCGCTATCACCGTTGCTATTGACAGGTATTCCAATGTCATGGCTACCAAGTGTACTACCTCCTTATCAAAACTAATTCTGTGTCTATGTATGGAACCTTCCACAGCAATTGGGGCATTCAGAACTCATAGCCTTATTCGAGCCTTCCGGACTGATTGCAGAAGCCTTTATGGAGTACAACTTGGCACGCACTGATAACCGGCGTCATGGTATTTCATTATTACCCATTGCAATCTGAATGAATCATACACTTATTTAATTACTGTTTTATCTTGCAGCATTCATACGCTATTATGACTTTGTAAATGGAAAGGCAGCTGTTGTAAATATGAGTGGTCGTGTGATACACGGCTGCAGACTGGCTGCTGTGCATGAGTTATAAGCTTTTAATTTTCTCCTTCTACTTTACTATCATGCAAAGAGGCACAAGGTGACTTCACAATGAATTCAGTCTATTATTCCTTCCAGAGGCGGATATGAAGCCTAGCGCCATTAAAATCGCCCGTCACCCATTGTGCCCGTTAACATCCTTTACTTAGTTCTCAAGCCTTTAGCACCAGCACCTATACCCCATTTGATGTGTTCTCTCTTCACCCTCTAGTCCGTGTACTTGCGCCCTTGCTCTGCTTTTATGATGTTTATCGCCATTAACCGCAAGTGATTTTGTCTCCACTTTGCTATGTACCAAATATATCTAGGCAAAGAGAAATTCCCAAACTCTCATATTGCTCACAGGTGTAATTCTCCACTGCAGTAGTAAAAGCGAGTTTTGGCGGCTCATAGTTAACTACTATTTCATAATTTTACATAATGCAAATCCTTATCCGAATATCGCCTCCACTGCTTATGCTTGTCATATCCTGGTATTGCCAATCCCTATCAGATTGTCCACTATGCGTAGAGGCAAATATCACCTGTTTCTTGGCCAAAACATGCGCCTTTGGCGTAAGAACATTAATGAATTTGTGGTCCATGTGAAAGCGTAGCACATATTCACTCAACCAATTTTAGAGAAACCAGTTACTAATTTTATTTTCCATAGCTTTGTGTAACTCAAACATAGAAAAGGAAACAAAAAATGCTATTAAATAGGTTGAAGACTTCAAGTGCAGCACTAGTATATATTTCAAAATATATTTTTCATCGATAAATTACAATCGAGCCTTAATGAACACAATGAAGCAGAGGGCATACAATGGAGGATACAGGAAAAGAAAGCGTTATTTCACAAGTGGCCACCATTTATACAAACGCAAAATTGTTGACATGGCGAAAACAAAGTGGATTATAGAATAGCTCTTTAAATTTCAAACGCACATAGCCACCAATTTAATTACCATGCAGTTTAAAGTGTTTATTGCCCTAGTTTGGCACCGTAGAAGAATCTTGCATATCCTCTCATCACAAAAAGATCGGAGAAGTAACTTAAAATCAAACCTTCATAAAGTGGCATATTTAAAACATTATGAAGTGAATCAACTTGTACTTTTATTCGACCGGCAAGTTTTTTCCATACAATGACTTCCTAATAATGACTGAAGCATTTCCATCATCAATTAACTGCTTTGTTAAGAAGATACGCCATACATGGTAGGAATAGTGCTCACTGATGGGGAAAATGGTGGAGTCTGCGTGATTTCCAGTCGCAGTATAATGAAAACACACTGGACGACGCTCTGCCGTCCAAGTTTGTTAAATGATAGTTTAAAATTTGCAATATTGCACAATGAGTGCACAGTACCTTAAAAAATGAGGTTTTTGTGCGCACTATATTAAAAATCAGATCCTTCTTGTCCTCCTAACATTTGTGGGTTTGCGTGTGCAAATCTACACCTGTCCAATCGTAAATGGACTGTGCATCAAGTTATTAGGCGTATAGTCAGGATCCTCTCTTACAGAGGTCACGTTATTGACAAACCTACATAGTAATTGCCATACAAAGGACTACTTCGAAAGCAGATCTGAACGTCTTTATTCCTCACTAAAAGGTCCCAGATAACTTTTCTTTGGAACACTTGATAGAATAAACTCATTACCAGACCTTCTCAAAGTACCTCAACAAATGCTGACACTAAAACACGCAGTTCTTTCGTTTGGACAGACTAGAGAACGCTTTGAGGCGTTTGACAACTGTACCATCTTTTTATATATCTGAAAATTTTGAAATAGTAATCTGAAACGGCGCTTACCGCAGTAATCAGTTCTAAATATCCTCACACTTTGCATCAAAAACCCACTTAAAATGCCATTTTCCAGTGAGTTAATAAAAACCAGAAACTAAATTTATGCTATTATTCCTTTACATTTGGTAGTGAAGTTCATGATGATAGCTAAATCAAATATTGACTTTCAAAAGCTTTGCAAAATGTGATTGATAATTATACATTTCCCCACTGTGCAGTATGGCCTCAACCAATTTGCATTAGCTTATTCAAATCGTTTATTATAAAAATATGGAACTCAACCTAAAATTTAGAATGGCACAAATCTACGTCTCAAGTTTAAATAGCACCAGCAATCTTAAACGCGAAAAATTGGTATGGCTTGCATATTGAGTACAATTTTTTCATTGCTAAATATGCATCCTACATCCTTTCGTCAAAGTCTGTTGCAGTGCCAGTTGTGGCTTAATATCTTAAAGGCCACCTGCATCACTCTACAATACAAAATTAGCATGCACGCAGGAGGAATTTAACAAAAGTATATGCAGGCTAAAGTATTGCACAACATGGGCTTCTTTTAATCAACACATTGCACAAACCTTGTCTGCAACTGAGCACCCCCAATAAATAGCATATACTTTAAAAGGCTCTAAAACAATGTGAAATTTATTATTAGGGCTGTTAGCAGATAGGATTGATACAACACCTACGTTAAGTTGCTATCACCTGACCCAGTTTTTCAGATCGGAGGCTAGCTAGCCATGTTAGCGATACCACACCTACTATAATCGTAGCCTCCACAGCACGAAGTTATGACGCACACAATGAAATCACTCTAAGTGGTTATGAGATATGGACCTGTCATTGTCTCAGGTTTGGACGATAAAAAAGTGTAACAAATGTGTTCAAGTCTTCTGGCTTATTATCCAATTTTTTAATGTAGATATGACCCTCTCAAAAAAAGATGGTCAAAGCTCTTTTTAGACTTTCTATGTAAAGTGCTTAAATATGAAGAGATCAAATTAAAAACTACGTTATATTTTGTGCAGTCTTCAGAATAAAACTTTTTGCTGCACGCTCCTTATACATAAGGAAGGTAATCTGCTCAACCCGAATTGTACAAGGCCTTTTCAGGTTACTGATGTTGTTATAAGAAAATTTTAATTAAATCCCATCACACCAACATTGTGACCCGATAAAGAGCAAAATTGCAAGACTAAATATCACATTTAATTGGTTTGAGTAACGAGGTCTAGAAGGGAGAGTGGTGTAGGGGTATTTAGGTGTTGGGTGGATATAGAAGATGAGCATTCGAAGGAAAGGGCGATGGTGGTTAGACAAAGGAGAATTTACAAAGGGTTGGAAAGAGTCCAATCTGAGGCATGGAGAGACACAAATACAAACTGCGGAATAAAGGAGCGGAGGCGGTCTTGTAGGATATACGATGATACACATTCAAGCACGGCCTTGTAGCAGAATTGGTGACTACGGTGCCTCAAAATTCATGGATAGAACCTTTTCAACTGGTCTAGGCTGTTAAAATGTGTCCATAATGACGTGATCTCTACCTTAGCTTTGCCACCCATTAAAGCGTGTAGCGCCGCTACGTGTAGTAAAGAAGCAGAAGTTGCTAAACGACTATGGTTTAAAATTTGGTTCTGCATTCGATGATAATATGGTTTGCAAGGTTCTACGCGACTGGTGAAACAAACCGCCGGAGTTTACACCCCAGGTCATGAATCATGCAAATGGACCTTACATGTATTGACACATGATTATAAACCTCGCAGTTTGACGATATTCCTGTTTTTATGGTACCCAAAATGTGCTACTGGTAAATTATTTGTTCATTCACTAACTCATGTCTGAAATGAGAAATTTGAATAGCTTGTGTTTAGGGTCACTGCAATGATATGTTAGCTGTCGACTCAAGCCGCTCACTTCAGCTTACTTCATACGTGATCACGAGAGCCTACTGAGACCAACATTGTTTAACCACGGCGAAAAAGCTCAGGTAAACACTAAATGACCTCAAAATTCCACTTCTCACCACCATAATGATATCCACTGCAATTTCTACATACCGGTTGTAAGTAATTTATGCTGGTCCTCTGTGCCCACCCACCACCAGTAGGGTAAAGCAGTCCTGTTTTCCTAATGTGAATCAAGCAATGAAAATAAGGCTTGCATTGCGGGTTTGAAGCAGAAGATAAATGCATGCTAGAAGAATTTCACTAACGCAATCATGCTCAGCGACGTACTGGTCCACTTCTTTTCCAGAAGACATCGAGGCAGGCCAACCGCATCATCTACACCAAATTCCAACTAGAGGTATCTTCAGTCATACTATGCTTGCACCAAATTCGCCAACTGGAGGAGGTTTGAAGAAGTGGGCTGTCATAAAATCCACCTAAGCACAAAAAAATCTCCTTCATGCGATCGAGATTGGTCACGAGACCTTCGATGTACTACAACCAACCAGTCATGATGAATGTTTGGCACGGAGTCAAACTACTCAAGGGCTTCTCCATGCCTCTGTATATTTGACAAGCATTTCCATAATCGTCATCTACTACTATACAGTCGTAGTCCGCAAGACGCCTTTCCCCAATTTCATTGCCGACTCCGTGATATCTGTCAACTGTTGCAGAGGACTTCCACACGATGCGCTTGAAGAGTAATGCCAGTGGAAACGAAATTGCCGCGGGTCAATATCTTCATCAAAGAAGATGCGAGTCGGAGGGCCAGAATTCACCACCTGAAAGTCGCAATAGTACCGTTCCATGTTGCCTCGCAGCCAACTTGTACCAGAAGTTGATGCGAGATACAAGCATCTTACAGACCTATGTATGTGTTCAGGGAAATCTGCATGCGACAGTCGCTGGAAAATGGCATCTTGCTCACTGCGATGCACTATTGCTGCAACCTCATTGCCGCAGATTAAGTCATCTTCGGTTAACAGCACCTGACAGATACGCCTGTCGAGCCACTTTCAATCTTGCATACCCCAACCTATAAAGTGGCAGTATGGCCAAGTGTTGAGTATCCAATTTCACTTTGGGATTGCGCTGTATAAATGTTTCAAATCGGTGGCATTAAGGTGTTTGCAAATTCTCAGACCCAGTTCCATGGGAAGGTCTGCAATCGTTTATTTGCTTGCCTTCCTTCTGCTTCTTTTCTTCATCTAGAATGCAAATGAAAGTGACAAGAGGAGGGAATAAGTAGTGCTGGAGAATTGTCAAGTCCAAATTATCATACAATGCTAATTCGAGATTAGGAGCGAATTACCCACATACTGATTGAGTAACTAACCGACGAATGAATGAATAATTTTTGTGAAAAAGGCTGCCACGGCATACAACTACAGCATTGAATCAACTTACTGTGTGATGTGCTGAAAGAGCGACGTGGTGGCACCGTCGAATGAAAGACTTGCAAGACATGCGCTCCGATGTGCAACTTAAATAGGGTTGACAACGCACCACCCCCTGAGGTCAAGATCTTGTCAGATTGTGCCACGTCACGTCAGCATTGGTCGATTTAACCACTGATCACACCAAGTCAGCGTGATTTTCACTCTACCTTTTGACCTGCTCAGTTGTACTCGCCTCGCAGTGCAAACGACGCATGACAGCGTTTTAAATTTCAAATCTGACCTCCATTTAAACCAGGGTGATATCCTAGTTACGGCAAATGAACTATGAGAAAAGCATCAATATAATTTGGGAGATCACATTGACAGAGACCCTTGACTAGAGTTTAGTCTGTAGGTCCTTACTCAATGGCACATATATGCTGTTATGTCAACGTGGGTGGATACTCTTGTACGAGTAGGTATCCACAAGTTCCATGCTTTCCCTTCCTACCTTTCCCCAAGACTTTACACAATAATCTGCATCTAGACTGGTGGTGTCTAAAATGGCCCTAAATGAGTGATTTGTGGAGAGCAATAAAGGCTTCTTGCTCATCTGTGGTAGTTTATTTCTTTCAAGGATAAGGTTGAGAACTGGGTGGGCACCTGTGGTAGGCGGGAAGTGGATGGATTGCGCCCATTGGATGGTAGTCTTAACGTGTCGATTAGACGGCATGCATTGATAATGTGCATATCTCTACGCAACAAAATTGAAGTTGTGATTCTGATCGCGGGTCGCGGGAGTGAAACGCCCCGTGGCATGGCCTTTGTGAACATGACCGCGTAGCAGAATTCGAAGGCTGCCCTGAAGGCGCATCCTTGCTACACGAGGTGAGCAGTTTGGCCCTCCCAGCAGCCACAACAGTGTGAACCACTAAACAGTGTTTAAGGTTATTAAGAATGGAAATGACAATTCAAACAGCAATCACTGCTTTGAAGTACACTGTGGGTGAGGCGTTGTAGCACCTACAGCTGTCTGGTCCAGACATTATTCTCTCTCATTAAAATCAAAAATGGATTTGACACATAAAATTGAAATAGAAGCAAAGCAAACTTTTTCCTCATTGCATTCAAAAAAGTCATAAATTATCGCCAATCATTCAGACGTAATCCTGAATTTATCACCACAAATAAATCTAAAATGAAAGGACTCATAAATTAGAGCAAACAAAACCTCCACCTCTTCTTTCAGTTCAAATAACTCTCACCCAAAAACCTTCGATTCAAGATCACTTTTTGTTCTCCTTTTCCTACTCAAGTCATCCCAAATCCACGCAAAAATGTGTACATATATTTATAAGAAAAAAAGGGACCGGGTAGGGAGGTGGGAGGGGGGTTGAAAGGAGACACAACTGTGAAGTAATTATTGCTGTTGGTCAGCGTTTTAATACTGTTCGATTGATAAGATAGCTCTACCGCCTTTTCCTCTGCCTTCCCTCCCAGTCTTACCACACCTTTGTTGAGGTTAATGAGGGACAAATTAAAGGTGATACATCAAAGAGGGAGGATAAGCAGCTTCGAGGTTTCAAGAAGGAGGAGAAAAAATTAGAAGAAATGTACAACAAATTACCATTACTAGAAAAGAGAACACACACACATGGAAGACGCCAATAACTCCGCGAACTTCTCAAACAATGGCATTCCGAATTATCGTAGATGTAATGGAGATGGCAACCAGAGTAAAAGAAAAAACGAATGTCAGAAAGCGAGGCTTTTAAAAGTCGAAAATGTGTGTACAACGAGAACTTCGGGAAATCGGGACCGAGGGTTTTGAAAACCCCCAGTTGGTCCCATTCTAGCGTTTCAATTGGCTATTGACTAATTGATTAATCAGAGCGAGAAGAACTTGGCGGAAGGTCTAACGATGCAATGTTCGGAGAGAGAAGCTCGTAGAAACACGCATCAGTCTATCGGTATAATCCTACCCCTCATCTGAAAGCTTCGTTTCTCATCAGATTAGCCTGATGGATTGGATTCGAACTTATCTACTTTTACCGGCTACTTCCAAAAGTGAAGATAAATTGCTAGAGGAAGACCTCCTTCTTGCGTTGAGAATAGCTTTCAGGCATGTTTGATAGGAGTGGGGGATGAAAACAGGCATCTAGAAAGCTCTGCATGCACCGTGTGCGTGTATGTGCCGACAGAAGCATTTACGATGAAGTAGTCATTGGTTAGAGGCCAGGAACTAAGGTCAACTAAGGCGTACAAGGAGTCAACGGGAAGTCAGCATCTGACAAGACCCTCGGAGAAAAGTCACCATTCTGATGAGAATGAGGCAGGAGTGGAGACACTGACTCAACTCATCCCCTTGTCCACACTTCGTAGTTGACACACAGAGGCTAAAGGGAATAGTTCCTTAGAAAGGAAGAATGAGATGGAAAAGGGGATGACAAAGGCCCAAATTTCCAGGCTAGCTGAATGCATGGCATGAAAAGTACATGCTGCCAGCGTCAAAACCTCCCGGTTTGTCGGCCCCGCCCCCGCGTAACCACTCCAAAAGCAGTTTTAAATCCCCAGAAATTTACGTTTTTCATCCCTAGTTGCCAAGCCTTCCAAAACGTCTCGTCAGAACTAACGATCTCTTTCGGTCCTCCTGATTGACCAGTTTCAAGGTAAAAGCAGGGCCAAGGCCAATCGAGGTGGCTTAGATAGGGCGGAATGCGATCAATCTCCAATGAAGACGATATGAAGTTGTTGATATTTGGCGTGAGCTGGGACTGTGTTGAGTTCCCTACCGTCTTTGTGGATAGCTCGCCTCATTCGCCTCCGCGTCGTATTTCGTCGGCCCAAGAGGAGAAAAAAAACTAAACGTTTCGCCTAGAGTGGAATTTGCCTAGTCAGTAGGCAATGCAACAACCAGGTAAGTAATCGAGGCGTCTAGACTGGAAAATACCACACAGCGCCTAGGCGGTAGGCGGCTCTAGCAGGGAAGGTGGAAGGGGGCGGAGGAGGTGGGCCAATTGGAGTACTAATTATTAAAAGTTCATTAATTAGCGCCACCGATTCCCTCGTCGTCCTCGACGTCATGCTGCTTTGGAAGATGCGTGTCCAGCTGCAATAAGGGCTTATCAAAAGCGCTGGCATTATGGCATAACCAATAAAAATCGCTGCTATGGTGACAAGCTTTGGCGTCACACAAACACACGCGTCCAGTTGGTTAGCCAGCCAGTCAGCTAGCTATGGATGGTGCCATGAAACCTCCCATGATCCCTTTCTCCGTGCTTGTGTGTGTCGGGACTTTAAGGCCTTCCCTGCTCCCTCCCTTCACCTTATACGTGCGTGAACGAGACAACTCATGCAGTGGAATCTGCCATTAGGAGGGAGAAATAAGAGAACTTTCTTTTCCCCTTTAACTAACTGTGAGCTGAAGCTTCAACTGGATACTCTGTGAGGTGGAGGGGACAGCTGGCAAAGTACCGGGCAAATGATGTGTCCACCAATTCTCAACCCTCCTTGAGGCTCAGATAAATGCTTTCAGGATGATATCCAGGGCAACTTGAAAAGAAGTTGCGCTGGCACTAAGCATACAGTCATGGGCTTTTCAAGGCGAGGTAGGGGACTAAACACTTAGGCGTTAAGAGCGTTAAGTATTGAGGATAAAATAGGTGCATGCAAGGAGAAAATCACATAAATGGAAAGATATTTCCATTCTTACAAGAAAAATTAGCTTGAAGACATTTAAAAGTCAGAAAGGCAGGCATCAGTTGATCAGCCAATAAGAAGAAGGAACTCAAAGGGTCCGCCCCCTCCCTTAATAAATAAACTTGTCCTTGAGAAGATTAACACTTTATGGGGAAGGGAAGAAGGGAAAATAGAAGCCTACCTTTTATCCTCTTTATCATGGGATTAAACCAACATGGGCATGGGAAGTGGACAGCTGGGAAATACTGCAGAGACAAAAGATACTACCGTGTAGCGGTTGTTGTATCATAAGTCCTCGGAGGAGAGGCAAGACATTGAAACCTCAGTTGTGCATTTAGAGGGTGTGTTATTTGACAAATGATAGCCTCATAAATATGGAAGAGTAAAAGAAAAAGACCTAGGAAAGCAAAGAGCCGAACAATTGGTCTTCCAGTTCTTTCCCACTGAATTCTTCCCCGCTCCCTACACCGTCAAAAATCTCCTCCTTTTTTCGATGATCACACAGCTTTGCCTTGTTGAAGCAGCAGTGCTTTCAAGTCAGCTGAAATGGTGGGACCCAAAAGAGGAAGTCAAAGGGAGGGATTTATGGGAGAAGTTTAGGTGGAAACCGAGGGACTTAATGTCCACAAATTCTACCCGCTGCATACACACCCTCATAAACAAGGTCGATGATCTGCCATTCATAACTTCCATGAATGCCACACCACACTAGCTGCAGTTTAGTTCCAGGCACATAACTAACATCTACTGTGTTGATTGACAAGTCTTCCTATGTCTGAAAAGTTGACTGCTATCGTAACCAGGGTTGAGAGATGTCAACCCTGGGAGCTATATATACAGCCGACTGATCTGTTGTGTAATCCTACGATAGCATCAGACAAGCGTTTCACAAGCTGGATGAAGCAACACTCCAATCCTCCCAAGTAATCCAAGGTTAATTGCAATCCAGTCATTTCTGAGGTTAAAAAGTAAGTCTCTTGTGATACTTACGCCTTAAGGTACTTCTGGAAGCGCCTCAGTTGCAATCACTCCACCACCATTTTCAGGATTAGCAACATCGAGAGAATGAGGGGCGCCATCTGATCGTGCTTATGCGGACAGTGCTTTCGCCGTCTTTTTGAGAAGGCAGAAATGTTGATTATGTAGAAGGAGGGGTTTTTTCATATCTAAGGACGGCCCTCGAGACGACTCCCTACCCCTCCGAGAGGTATCACATTTATCATTCTAAAGAAGGAACAAGAGGCCTATTCAATAATGGAGGCAATGTTGATTATGAAAACTTATCAAAACTACTTGAGCATTCACAAATGCTTGATGATCTCCATGCACACACACACGGAAAAAAATATAGACTTTTTTCCAAAAAATCTTCTCTCCCCCCTACCTTATCCATCAGTTATCCAAGTGCCCAAAAAGGTGGGTCGAGAAGAAGTGTGGGGCAAAGGCAAGAACTCCGCTTCAGAAGCGCGACCAAAAAAGAAGTGAGAGAGTCTTGATGG